GTGAGGGGCCGTACCATTGAATTGGCATTGTAGAGGAGGCTCAGGAGATACACTTCTCGGAGCTTTGGATAACTAGGGCCTAAAGGTAGAGAAGCCTTACACGTCCTCTGTAGTCTGAGACTTTGCGAGGACATGACAAAAATTTAATTCCCAACCAACACTGATCATAGGTCACAGACTAACTGAATCAGCCCTACGTGATGAGAAGGCTCAAGTGTGTTTGTATATTGTCCTGCTAGATAACTGACACCCTTCGTAATCCTTTAGAATCTTGAGCAGGAGTGGGGCCAGGTTGGATAAAGTTAGATGCCATGGAGTAAAGGAATCTCGACCTACCTGGTGGCGAAATCGTCTCAGATTTCACCCATGTGTTTATTATACCAAGTTTGACCGTTAAGAAAACCCAACTTTGATATGCTAGAGCCTTGACACCTGAACGTTCTTTGGTGTTCCTCTTTCGCTTCACCTAAGCATCGCAATATTTTGGCCATCTCCTAAGCTCATCAAGGTGCAATTTTCTTCACTTGAGGCTTCCTTGGCTCTGCGTCCCTTTATTTCTTCTACCATAGAATTTACTTTATTCTAAAAACCTGGTTTTATTTTTTCATTATTATTTAACGTCGTGCTAGCTCACGACACAACCTTAAGGTATCGTGTTGGCCAGCTCAGTCTACATAAACTACCCGACGTGCCGATACCTTTAAATAAGCCCGGCATGTTATAAATGGGTCAAGGCCTGCCTGTCATGCACCCCGAACTATCGAAAGAAGTCAAAAGTACTCTCAAGCTGAGACTTTTGTATTCTAATACAGTAGAGAAGATCGTTATATGAAAAGGAAAGTTATCCATCACCTAGACGAGAAGTCTTCTAAATGTAGCTCTAGCATATACAGGCCAAGTGCATATGATTTGGGGTACTCGTTAGTCTTGTTGTTGCATGCTTCAAAAAAGCACGTTTCAGGAAGCCATTTACTAAAAGCTATGGCTCCTTCAGGTGAGCCTAGAATCCAGCGAATTCCCGTCGTTGGCTGTTTATTTCCGCTGCAAAGGCGGTCTCAAAACCTGTTGAAATAGGTTGTATCAGACCAAGTCGTAAGCATTACGTGAAGGTAAAGATTAGTATACTAGGCGAGCATCGCGAGACATTAGATTTTGTAATAAATAGAGACTATCCTTTAGCAATGAAGTTACTACACAACAATCGATCTGCTGCACTAAAGTTTAACAAAACCCATCACTACTCCACTTCTAAACGCATAGGCCAGACACGCGTAGTAGAGCTCCAATTGCAGTACCGATGACATGGCTTTTTTCAAATGCTCTAACTGATGTGCTGGCGAAATATGGTATCTATGTTGTGGGTAGCGATCTGCCGCAGGTCGAGCAGTTGACGGCTTTTGATGAGGTGTAGACACATACGAAGCTGGTGCTTCGACCTATCATAGTGCACGATAGTTTCAGAGGCACAGATATCTTGTTACATCTGAGACTTTGACTCTGACTTCTGGATTTTGGGATACTTCGGTAATTGGTAAGATAGTTTTAGCCCGAGATAGATCTTCGATGAACAACATGCTGAAGGTTATCATCTATCATCATAAGAGCCTGAGATAGGTTTGAGGTCGTCTGTGGCTCGTATTTGAAGCGTGTACCATAAATTTTGTTGGTCTGTACAGTCGTGAATTATCTACAGATGGGGATTTCGATCATAATCCTGCCAGTCCTACTCCTGTACATCACTATATCAAAGAGGCCCCTAAAATACACCGTTTGACGTAAATGAATTTTCGCTCGCTAAATATCCCACTCCCAGGCGCGTAAACGATACCTAAGATAGGTGTTCAGCTTCATCCTAAGTCCAGATACATCGTGGGCGCTCTCGCTGATTGCACACTAAGTGGGACCAGTGACCCGGAATCCCTTCTCCACCGCCAATATGCGACCCTAGGCAGAGATATAAAAATCTATGAGGTGTCCCAGCCTATCTTAATCTTCTGTCCATCACAGCTGCACGAAGAATGGTCTCGAATTAAGTGGGTCTATCGACCACTTAGTAGCCGCATCAGCTAGCACAGGGTAGAGGCTAGACCATCATGTTGTCTTTATCTGTGCTGGTAGAGCTACCTACGCCCTCATCAGACAGGCCATAGCGTGCACAGTGTTCGAGGACGACCTTGGTATTTTATTCATATCATCTCCAATGACAAGGTACACGACGGGCATATATTCTTCACTTGCTATTATTTGGTCCGACGGATGAGACGGAATTGATAGCCGCTACTCTTTCGCGCCTCGACTTGGGAGTATCAAAGGCTTGCATCGAAGCTTCTATCGAGCACACACATTTGGAAACGCCAGTATCCCGCCGCCTCACCCTGCGTGGCCTTGGCTTCACTAACAACTTGAGCCGGCCTAGCTGTCCCTGGTCTGCGTAAAGTATGGCGTGAGCCCTTCGTGGAATAAGCTCATTCGGGCATATTCGAGTCGAAAAGACTCTGGCCTCTCCCCTTTCCGAGTACCTTCGGTCCAGGGGCGGGGGACATACCTGCAGATAGCCAGCATACGAGCTGGTTCCTGCAAGGCAAGCCACTACATCGTGCAGCTACGACGTGTAGATAATCTCTCGCATTGGAAAGACGTTGGAAGAGACCTCTCAGACAGATAGATAGATAGTCGTATTTATCGCTTGTATTCAGGCGTTTGAGTTTTCGAGTGGATCAAATATATGGACTGAGATAACCTTAGCCTTGCATAGGTCTGCACTACGGGTGGCTCGTGCCTCACAACTTAGAATATGTATGGTAGAAGCTGAATGTACGTGACTTGACATTCTCCTAAGTACAGGGTATGGTCTATTCATGGCAGTATTTCCATCGAAGTGCCTCGACTCCGATATAAGATCATTACATAATCATTTCAATTTACGAGAAGCTGTCAAACATGGGATTGGTTGGATAGTATAGCTTTTGTCAAAGTAGGTCGTCCCATGAGTCGTGGTGTATTGCTGAGGGCTGTTTCGGCTTGCGATACTTACTCGGACGTTTGAATGACAGTCTCAGGCAAGATCTTAATGTTTCTAGAGAGCATTAGTCCTGTTAGACTGGGGTAAGACGTACATGCACTTAGTCATCACATGTAGATATTCCCAGGAGGCGTGTGTTCATATACGGAGGTTTTCCTTTGATTAGAAACAGAGAGATTTCATCAATAGTCTTTTACCTCATATTTTTCAATTATCCCTCAGTGTCTATCAGAACCCCTTACATAAAATAGGAGCTCTGCATTTGAGATGCTTACAGGCTTCAAGAGAAGCGTCAGCGATTGATGATAAGCAACTTGTGCTTTGGCGTGAGAGTTGGTAGGCTTCGTCGTAGAAAATCTAGGGCACCTGAATCGACCTTGTCAACCAAACAAGCCTGCTCACCCTTGACAAGGGCACGAGCCGTGTGCCATGGCTGGTGATATGCAGAGGACAACATGGATAAAACGATTTATATCGAATCTAGTGATGCGCACAAGAGGCAGTTGAGTTTAGCCGTTGCCGGCCTCGTCGTCTCCCACGCTGGATGGAGGTATCTGACGTGGCCATCAAGTCCCTATTCATGAGATCAAAGTCGATGGCTGAGCACCGCGGCATCCGCCTCCCATTGTTCCAGAAGACGGATCTCCTGCGCGGCCCGTGGGACCCTGGCCCTCTACCGGCATGAGCTAACACCCAGTCAACTACAAACAGCTAATCCACCCGAGCCTCCGCTGCTGGATTCCTCTGCGGAGGTGCTTTGGAAACATGCGTGCATGTGTATTCTCGACGGCCTCATCTTGCCCGTCGCTGGTCAAGTGTGCTCTCGTAACCTTACATGTCAGCGCAAGGGAGGTGTCTGGGCCTTGCTGACTCCGAAGCGCCAATCCCCTACTCCCATGAGAACAGGGGCCTTGGCCATCTAGACTCTACTTTTGGAATCCACTCTGTACCGTTCGACCTGGCCAGCTGCTTTATGACTTTCAGACAGGTCTGCAACCCCGACTGGCCTGTTAGCATGACCATACCGCCGCTCAGTATCATCACAAGAAGTCATGCCATGTATTGTCCGCCACGACGCCAGACCCAGCAGCCAAAGGTCCAGCCGGGGCCGGACCTCTGGCTGCGCAGCATATCCTCCCTCTACTATCCACATCCCAAATCCAGCGCAGCAGGTGTGCGCGGGTCAGGCCCCTCGTTTACAGCTCACAGTCGCTTGCATCGTCTATCATACTGCAGAAAAAAATGGGACTTGAAATCCACATTGACGTTCATTGGCTGCATGTACCGGCGTGGGCTCTTTCACGGATCCCGCGAAATCTAGACTCTGACAACTGGCCTCGGAAACGTATTTGCTTTTAATCCCCCATTGCGCCTCAGCAACGCTTATCTCGTCATCCCTTTTCATGCACGCATCAACACTACTGTAGATAACAATCACGTCTTTTAACACGTAGATTTTCTGCACCTACTGGATAATTAATATCCGTCGATTGAACCTTCGCCAAATTCATCCATGCGTTCCGTCGTCAAACATCAACCTGAACTCCCTTCCGGCGATGCGTTTTTATCAGTAGCCCCATAGTCTATTGAAAATGATACACAAAGAGCAGAGAACTTCCGAGTAAGTCAATAAAGTATGTTACAATTATTTCTCCAATCTCAAAATGCTCCAAAAGATAAGCAGATCCCGCAACTCCGGATATATTATCCCCATTTATACTTCCCAGTCACCGTGCAGAGATCTACATGTAATGAAATTTCCCTACTCCTATGCTCCGAATACATTACTCAAACCGAGGCATGTTACCGCTGCGAGTTCCCATTTCTCTTCCGCAAAGGGATAAACATGTGGCTGAACTAGCCTAATACTAGGCGGGCCATTTATACACCATGATTCCGTAAAAGAGATTCATTACATATATCTTAGCAGCGTCTTGATCACAAGCTATAGCTTGCGTGTTTCACCCTCCGTGTAATTTCACAGCTGAGGGGTTCTTGTTATTATCTTCGACTGACGTCTTATTAAATTCAATCCATGTTCACTAGTCGGACTATGATTGTAATAGCCCAAAGTTATGTTTCCATCGCTTTTGTATCGATCATTTTCGCCAGAACTGAGTAACTTTGCATCGCGAAGTATAGAATTATCAATCTCTGTGATAGTTCTTTTATGAAAAGTTGATCGGGTGAAAGATTCAGGGTTGGAATCACCCATGGTGTGAAATGAGAGGAAATCAGAAATTTCGATGGTATCGGCTTGTTTTGCCTCACCAGGAGAGATTGGATAACTAGATTTAAGGGCGGGAAGTGCTGTTGGGGAAGGGGAAATTTGTTCTCCAGAGCACTGTTCGAGTGGAGGTACTTGTGAATCTAGCAGCTCTGGTAAGGGAATTGGTGATTCTAAACAACAAAATCCTTTAGAACTGCGGAGTGGGGAACAGCCAAATTCTTTATTCGTCTTAGTGAAAGGACCTCCTGACATGGTAGTATTCACACGACAAGTTTGTAAACTTATTTCCGACAACTTTGTTTTATCAAATGACCTTGAATTGTATGATGACAACTGACTTGTTGCTGAGTCAGGTGTTAAGTCGAGAGATCTCGTCGCTAAATCGTCTTGATGATTTCTTCTAGAACTCGTCATTTCGAGGCTTGTCGGATATATTTTGGTGTCGCTCGCGTCACTTTCCCTGAGATCATTCCCAGATACATCACTAGGTTTTCCTGCCAGAGAAATTTGATTTGGCATCGCTTCCGACGATTTATGTAATCGCGGCACGTTAGTATAGATGAAGAGGGGAGAAGCAGGAGCCTTATCAGTGGGGCTCGTATTTGCAGATTGAGACTTGCGTCGTGAATAGCTTAGAGGTGGTTGTTGGAAGTGGCCTGGAGCCGTTGTTATACTGACAGCAACACTAGCTTGAGCATGTTTATTATCGGCATCGAAAAGTTTACGATCTACAGAATGTACACGAGATATGGTATTGTCCCTCAGACTAAATAAGGCCTCTCGATCTCTCGGGCTTTGCCAGATATCGAACACAGTCGCCATGCTTTTAATGACTGGGGGCTTCGACTCATCACCAAAGGCACGAAGATTTGTTGTATTAACAGATTTTGAGTAGGAGTGGCCTCGTGGTGTTAGTTTGTGCGTAGAGTTAGCATTTGAGGCTTTACATTCCGGCCCACCTGGTCTGAGATCACGATCAGCAGGTCCGAGGGACAGGCGTCTACTTTGAGTGGTCTTTTCAATTGATGTAGATGGTGGTGTTCCACAACAAAATTCTCTGCGCACGGTTTTATCATGAACAGCATTTGATGCTGGCTCAAAAAAATAATCGCTGGGCTGTCTATATGCTTCTTGCGAGTGAGTGTAAAGACTAACGTATGATTCATCGCCTCTAAGGCTATCTTTCAATATTGGGGTGATGGGTGTATGAGAATGGGTGTCGGTTCCAGAACTAGTGGTACTACTGACAGCCCGTCTCCGGGACCGCCGTGACCTTTTTGAGCCATCACTTTTTGTATCGCTTCTCGTAACTCCGATCACCTTTCCGACTGCTTTCTTCACCGCAGTGCGAGCTCTTTCCAAAAATGTTATTGGCACGACGGCCCTTTCTAGCTCATGACGATCAACTTCAATTCTTCGCCCTGCAGTTACCCTTGAAGGATCTGTATCATCCAACCATCCAATGATATCATCGAGACCCCTCAGTAACCATGGATGACGTTTAACCTCTCTCAACTTAATACGCTCCGCGGGGTCTTTGATCAACATCCGTCGAAGAAGGTCAAAAAGCTCATCGTCAATTATTTCAAAAGCCAACTCATTCTCCTCCCGGTAAGGACTATTTGGCGATGCTGAACAACTCAAGATATTTCCAGGAGGCGTATTTGCTTTCTGATTGACCGCTTTGAGTCTTCGTCGAGGAATATAGACGTCTTCTTTTGCAATACATCGAAATAACTGCCACTCATCATCGGCAAGAAATGGTATTCGTGCAAAAATGAGGCAATATAGAGTAATTCCAAGTGACCACACGTCAATTTGCTCCGTGACCTTGGGCTGATGAGCATTGATGTCCGTGCAGCAGAGCTCGGGTGCAAAGAATGCTGGGGTCCCCACGGTCTTTGCCAATTCCAAGTCATCATCAAAATCTGTCGCGTCTGTCTCTGAAATGTTCTCTTCAGCCTCTCCATCTCGAGTAGGGCGTCCGAAGTAGGAAACTCCAAAATCTGATATCTTGACTCTATGATCCTTAGTCCAGAGGAGGTTAGCAGGCTTGATGTCACGATGGACGATACCTTCATAATGCAGATATTCTAGACCCAATACAGTATCCCTAAATGCTGATCGGGCCTGATCAATGGTGAAGCAGGGAACATATGAGTAGTCTTCTTCGAACGCATCATGGCAAACATTATCTATCGAAGACATGTGAGAGATGATACTGTCAGAGAGAATACTAGCTGTTGTACAGGGAGATCCGTCCCTGTACGAGCTATCATTGACGTCGCCTTCATTACATGACCCATATTTGACAGGAGCATCGAGATAAGAGTCAAAGTGAGGGGACGGGAATGGAATCGGCTGTGTATATATGTTTTCTTTGCTACTGATGTTTGGATCGGTCGCCAGTAAGTCAAATTCTGATGGCAGGGGAGTCTTAGACTGAAAACTTCTAGAGGTGGCCCTTGAAGAAGGACGAGAGGAAATCCGGGAGCCTGGGTTAGAATCTAGACCAAAGCGGCGTATAGGCAGGACATGCGAAGTATTGAGATCATCTCTAGACCCTATCGACATATCTTCATCTTCGTCACCATGCTCTAAGCTCCAATGGTTTGGATTTGCCACGAGTTGAAGTTGTGAAATTTTGGCACGCTGCATCAATTTTCGAAAGCGCCTTCGTTCCATCATCTTGAAATATTTTTCATCTTCGCAATGATCAGTATCTCCAAGCTGCTCCTTTTCGATACGATGTCTTTCATAGCGGCAAATCTGCAAGGTTCCCTTGCGCCGCCAGACAATTTCACCTAATTCAACGTGTTCGAGGACCATGTAGATCTTCATTAGTTCTGGGTCGTCAATCACCTCAAGGAGGCCAACAACATTAGCGTGTCGAACCTTTTTAAGGATGGCAATCTCTCGCTTTGTCTTGTCTTCTGGAGAGAAGGTGACTCGACCTAATTTCCGTTTCTTGGAGAAGCGTTGAATGATCTTGATAGCAACAAATTCACCCGTCTCCAAACTTCTAGCCAGTTTGACCTTTCCATGCACACCTCTGCCTATCTCATTGATAATCTCATATTGATTGATCAGCTTTCGTCCGGTGATAAAGTCTTGCTCGACTTGAGCCTTATTGGTTCTAGGAGATAATGTTAACGCATAGGACATTGCGGAAATATAATGAAAAGGGACGCAATTCAAATTCAACTGCGGAGTGAGACTCACTCTCGAACTTTATGCATCTGTAGAGGATGTAGGTAGGGGCTGGAATGTGGCGTACCATCGGAAGGAACGTGGTGTGGGTGGATTGAGGGGCTGAAAAGACCTGGACTTGAGATTGGTGTGCTTAGAGGCGACCTTTGTGAATCCATCGCTGATTCGTGATGGAGGTAGTAGCTTGCCTAGCAGTCGCACCATTTTTTATCGATTGGGATGCGACGGTGGCCGGCTCGCATCAGTACGAGAAGATGTATGGTAGAAGATATTTAAGTAGGAAGCGACGACCTAGATAGCTGATTGACAATTTATGGCGGGGTTATTTGGATTCTGGGCTGATAAGAGACAGTGACAAGGAGTAACAAGTTTTCGTCTTTGCCGGTACTGACCATTAGTCGACAGGAGAAGGCCGATGAAGAGAATTATTAGCAAAGTCAAGGGTTTATAGGCGCGTGAATAGTGTGTGATGAATAGCCAGCATGATAGAGAGATGAATGATGGTCGAGAATCGTGATGTCTTGGTAGGGGAAAAAGAGGTGAAGGAGAGTGAAGATATGAGTTCGTGCAACATAGAAGGGCACTAGTGAGTAACATTGAAGGGCAGGGGTTTGGAGTCGGGACCGAGGAGGAGGGAGGGGCGGAGAGAAAGCATGGGCCAGTATGCGGTGGGGTGGTGGTGATTAGTGACGAGGTAACGAGAAAATATCAAAGCATAAGAGAAGGATGACTCAGCGAAGGGGGAGCCGATGGAAAACGAGCCTGATGACGTCTTCCGTCCTGAAACTAGAATTTTGGGGGTTGACAGTGCGGGTTGACTAGAAACCGTGCTATCATAATGGCTCTGACTCGGGAGGGCACGTGAGAGCGCGGCTAGAAAGAAGCGTGCCAATCGACTTGGGCATCGACGAGATGCCAGGGCGGGAGGAAGAATGAGGGCGCACGGTGGGGTGAGGGTGACGAGGATATTAGTCATGGCAGTTAGTTGTGTCGGGCTTTGGGCTAGAAAGCAGCCAAGCGTGGCCTACAGTCCTTCGATCCGGACGAGTGAGACTCATGGGCAGATGGAGGTTGAGCAATGTCGAGTTTGTTCAGACTCGTCTGACAGTCAAGCAAGCGGTATCGTCACCAAGGAAATGGGTCTACCTTCGCCGTGCTGAAAGATGCGTGAGAGTAGCACAGACGGGGGCGAGGTAGGCTAGTCTTGAGTCTGGCAAGCTAGGGCCGGGGACAGGGGCTAGAGTGGAGATACAGAGCTTGTCTAGAGGCATCTTTTGCCCTCAACGTCTCCGAACACCTCCGTCGCCTTTGGCCAATCAAGCTGCGCTCCATGGCCTAGCGAAGCCAAGAGCAGCACTAAAGCCACGCTAATCTTGAGGCTTAGTCGGTGGCTCTAGACAGTAAAGGCCTCTAGCACATGCCTCCCACGCACTCCTATGGCTATCGCTACTACGCCACTAGAACTACTGGAAAGTAGCCCAGCTATCCACAAGGCTCCCGAACCCATGCTCAAGCTAGAAACCAGTCAGCCGGCCGACCCTTCCATCGAAGATTCCGTCTCGCGCCTCCCTCGCTCACTCTCACACCTGAACTCATAATCTCCTGGGCAAGCCGGTGAGCCACGTCTGGCCAGCACGCAACGACCTGCTTGACGGATGGGGTGTATGCCTAGGACCCCACATTCTCTACATCGCCGGTGCGTAGCGCTCCATGACCCCAATGTCCTCGAGCAAATAATTTGGGAAATCTCGATTCCCTCGCCTCCTCCACCAATCAGGCCCTCGAATTCGCCGAACTTAGCCCCCGATCCCGATAAACGTAAAAGCTCTGCCGGGTATGATTGGCTGAAATTCTCCGGTAGAAAAGCAGAGCCTCGTCTGGCCGAAGCTGCTGGTGACGAGAGCTCGTGCAACAAAAGACCGACCAATTAAATTCCCGCCGCGTCGTTAGTGTGAAACCTGCGCTAAGCCCAAAGAAGCGGCTGATGCTAGGAGGAAAATGAGTGACATTCGCCCCATTGGCATGAGCCAATCTTGAGCAAAGCCCCTCCAGATCTCTGGCAGAAGGCGATAGTTTGTCGCTGTCTCGAACCCGTTATTGCGAGGGCGCCTGACTATGCTCGACTACGCCCGTCATTCATCCATACACTCCTCCTCTCCTCACCCACTTGCTTCTCACTCAAGTCGGGCCTCTTATCACATCGAACTAAATCGATCTGCGTTTATCTTGATTACACTCTAGGGTTTGTTCGGCCCGTCACCATCTCCATTGGCCTTGGCACTACTCTAGCTCTTTCACCGACAGCCGTCTCTCCACCATAGGATCAATCAGCCTAGGCACCTTTGCCTCTGCCGCGCCCCAGGGCTGGTTCGCCAAGTCAGATAGTAGACAAGCCGAATCTAAGAGGTGCTCATAATGACACGGGTTTTCAAGGAACACATCCCAACACGGAAGACAGAAAGTGTGAGTGGATAGGAACATACCTGAACTCAAATGTGAAATTTACGCGTGTCCGCTGCATGCCTGAAGCCATAACCACTACCGTATTTGTGATATTGGATAGTATGCTCCTCACCTGCTGGGTGACTCGCTGCGCCTGTGAATAATGAGACACCCGCTTAAATAGCCTTTCCGCTCCGGATAATCCTCGTCATTAGACCACCCGCTCGTTTTACCCCTTCAATAAAACAGTCACTTTGAACCCTTGTCCTGATCAGAGTGAAAGCTGTCGCTAGTATCTTGCTGTTAAAGCGCTTGCTTTAATTGACCTGTAAGTGTTAATTCGTGATCGACTCGCGTACTAAAGTCAAAAGACCTAAAATCACACATAGTTGTATTTTCTCAATGCCTTCTATTATTTGGCCGGGACCTTGTGTCATAGGTTCTATGAAACAGAAGTAAATACAGCGAATGTGCCGACCATCACTTGAACGCATGACTCTCAAGTTTTATTTCTAACAAACTCCTCTAGACTATCCATGGGATCCATGGCTAGCCCGACATTTGCGGGTAGGCTTCGATGACTTGGGAGGAATTGAGGGATGTATCTAGGGCTCACATAGAAGCCAGTAAAAAGAAGTGATGCACATTGCCAAAATTAGGGTAATAGGAAGCTAATGTTTTGCGTTAAAATTAGATTTAATGTTATCTATAATCAAAGGCCATTCCCCAGCTGATATTTCACAATCCCAACCCATGATTTTATTTTAGAAAGCTCCCGGAAACGTGATGATAGTTTTCGCTTTTTTAAGTGATGATGAGAGTGAACGATCTTGGCCAACGCCGGGCGCATGTGAGCACTTGTTTCAAGTAGGCAAGGACACGTCTCAATGATTAGTGGTGTAGATAATATCATTGTGACAGCAGATGGCTTGCTGTTAGTGTGAGTATTGTGAGGGATGGCGATAGATCTTCACTCCACAATGACGTTGAGCTTTTAGTTGGTTCAAAGTCTGCATCCAGCACAAGTGACAGAATTTAGGGCTGTGAACAAGATTGGCGCATTAAAATGCCTCTGCATATTTGCATGAAATGGATTCCAGCTTAGTACACAAGACAGGTTAGGTTGAGGTTTGATCGTTAAACAGCATCCTACTCATTGCTCTTTGGGCTTTAGGTTGCAGATGGCCTAGGCGAAGCAGATCTATGCCATGATAATGATTCTTCGAAGAGACTCTTGTGCTGACAGCTAGCGACTATGCCGCTCTCAGGTGGCGCTGTAAAAACCTTACAGAGACTGTACATGACTATTATCAGTAATGGTTCAGTATTAATTAGGGCATAGCTGATGTTAACTAGCGTTGTGATAAAGATGAGTAGATTGAGGATGAGAGCGCCGAATTCGTTGGATGTCATTTTTTCACGGTAAGTGGAAGGGTGCGCTCTCACCCGTTTCACGATTGTGTAGTGGGGACAGGCTAAGGATAATTAGATTAACGATGATCACGGGAAAAAAGAATTCATAATTTTAAGCCATTCGGGGCATAGCAACACATGGAGGAACAAGGAATGATGGCCTGACAATTGCACCCTGTTGTACTAGCGCAGCGAGTTTAAACGATACGATCTGAACTATCACATCGTAACCTTTTCCGGGGCATTAATAACCGTGCCTTCGTGGAGCTTATCTTGTTTCGGCCTATCCATGATGATCCAAAACATCTGGCAAGTCTTCAGTGGCTAGTGAATACCATAACTGCATATTCTGCGCGATGGCTGTCAGGCAGCACCCAAAAGCCAAAGTTCTACCGTAGCTTTCGGCACTCTTTTCGAGCCCACTTGAGTTTCTGTTGATAATCAATGCTAAGGTCTACGCAAATGCATCATGTTGAAGCTTTTACACATAATACTCAGATACTCAAACAGCAACTCGAGCCAGACGGCGGTCATGGATATTGCTGACGTGGACAGTCTAGTAGGGTCTTCAATGGTCAACTTGATAGTCCAAAAAATAACACGCATGTAAGATTGGCAAAGCTACTGTCTCTTTTCGACATCTATCAGGTATGGATTTACAGCCAAGTCCAAGCTGTGATATTGCTGTCGGCTTACTCAATTCAACTCGGCATATTTGTTGCGTCTGTGGTACTTTTCAAACAGTTAGTTTTGCTTATCAGCCAAGGTCTGTTTCGCAACTACGATGATTACCAACCGCTTGTCGGTGAGGATATTCAATTGCCTGTTGTATCCGTTTAATAGTAAAAATTGGAGACAGCTTGTCTTATACCGAAGCTCACAGGCATAAGAGAGGATACTTGACTGGCACAGACCTCCCATACTGTGTCGTTAGTGCTATAACTCACTTTTAAACCTGGGTCTTTACCCCTTTCCTCAACCGCAAAAATCTGACCAAGGGAAGGAACTACAAAATCTTGGGCTGGCGTAGTATGCTAGTGTCCGCCGATTCTTCGTCACGGACGAATATCTCGGTGAATCCCCTTGTACAATGGGGTGATTGATGAAATTACTCAGGCTGCGCATGGGTTGGGTTAAAGTGTATTGGACGTGGTCTTTAACCTTCGGTCTGCTGCCTGCGTCCTCGAATCCAAAGTTTTGCCGCGTACCCAGCTCAAGAAATCTGAAGGCCCTTGCTAACAAAGTCAATTGCCAAGATTATTGATCGAAGATCCCTTCTTCTAATAGTCTGTGCCTTTGACATGTATTGTCTTTCGGAATATCTCTTGTGATGGATCATGGAGCCATGACTTGATATCATCAGCAAACATCTACGACGTAATTAATAAAAATATAGTGGCTAATCAAGCACTGAAGTCGATTTGGCGGGTACGTTGGTCAAAGATAGTCGGATCTATTCAATATTATTTGCAGATACGGGTCCTAGGGAGAATAAGGTGTAGTCTGAATCAGAGTTGACTTTGTAACGTCATTTCTAGCCACAAGTCAATGACACCTATGAGATTGTACCAGCAATCAGTATTTAGTAGCTCTTCCACAAGCCCTGGTTTGATCATACACTTCAAGCAGCCACTGCCTCTATGATTCCCTTCCTTTCCAGTCGACGGAATTGTAGGCCACTGCTCGGTGCAGAAATTACGATTTTCCTTGATCCGATGTTATTAGATAAATTCAGAATATACTTCGAAACAATACTGACCCATGTTTTTGGGGTAATCTCGCATCCTCAGCTTTATGGATTACATAGTTGACAGGTGTTGAGAATTCACCCTGGGTGTTGGTATGACAGGGTAATCTGAATCAGAATTTAATGCACGATTAGTTTATCAGAACGGTAGAAGTATCATGGCAGGGACTTACATTAAGAGGAAGTCTGATTAAATTGCATTAGCTGTGTTGGCTACAAAGGCCTTAGGCTAATAGTTTGGCCCGCTGCTTGGTACTTATCTGTTGGGAATCAAAATTCAATCAGCAGTGTAGGCTCATGAAAATTATAATACGATGTTTCTTGTGAAAGAATTAAATTGAAAAATGCAATTGTAAATTTAGATGTTCGAATGTTCATGAGCACAATTGTTCAAGAGAACATCGCCAATACCATGCTAGGATACACTATGAGTTTCAATATGCTTCCGATTCTCTGTATAGTATCTATGTTATATTTTTCAATCTACAGTGAAAGAGTGAGTGATGTTTATTGTACTACTTGAGTCTATGACTATCTAGCACATTGGGCTCCTTTCTGGCCCAGGCCACACCTTGTACAGTGCTCCTTGCCTCTTTTGTTACATGAAAGATCATTGATATATTCCCCTTGATGAATAGCCATTCAGCTCAGTATTTGCCCGTGGAATTCGGCCACATTTTCCACGGAACCTTCTACCCCAAAAAATAAAAATGGTAGCAATGGAAACTGCGTACGCGGGAAAAAGTCTCAAGAATCCTGCAGCTCCAGCCAGACGAGGCCTATACACCGGGACCACATGAGGGGCGCATATTCATCTACATCTCTCTTCTTTGTAACATTCGAAGCCGACATGATCCAGCTCACCATTGCCGTATCGGGTGCTGATTAGGCTCCAGAAACTCATCGGATGGCTATTCTTCCATGATGAAGGGTGGGTGATGAGAAGGGATTCGACTCTACCATCTGATCTGATCGTAGTTAGCTTCGTGATAATAGTGATAGGGGGATGTGCTTAGGGATGAAGACGATACAGACCGCGGAAGCGATTGGGAATCCTCGTCGAAGTGAGGATTTTGTTACTCAATCTCGACTCTGCAGACTCTACACTGAGAGCTGGAGGTTCGTAGGGGGCACTACTGACAGGTGTTGAGAATAGTCCCCCTACAGGAAAAGATAATATATGTTAAGAATAAATTGCTCTGAATTAGGCCTGTAAGATCCCCCTCCATCAAAAAATACCCACGAGTCTTCTCAATCTACTAAAAAAGGCTTATTTGGAGGCGTATAGCTCTCGGGATGTCCTCAAAGAAGCTCATAATAGAACTTGCGCCCATCGGGTAGCCTCTACCTCGGGCATTCCAAGGCATTGTAGAGCCACCAGTCTCGCTACCTTTTCTAGGCTTCTCTTTTGTCACGCTCTTATCTGAAAACTAGGGAATAAAGATAATGTGAAGACCTAGTCAGGAAGTTATTTCCGGAGGGTAATGACGGCGAAAGCTCCTGCCTTGTTACCCGAGTGCTGGGGTAGTTTATGTAAGTAATTCAGCTCTGGCCTGTAAGATTAATGTGATTTGTAGAAACGCTATTTTTGACGAGTCAAATTCTGCCAAGAAAAATGACGGTAGTCTCACGAGCTTTGCAGTCGTTGGGCGTTCAATTCACCTGCCGGGTGGGTGGCGTGTGTGGTACGTGGCGAAGTATTCTCTTGCTACCATTATACCGAATGTTACCTTGATATCCCTTCTCTGATGCAGCGTCGCAGCCGTCAGCAATATTGTCTTGGACACATCGGGACCATCTTCCTAAATTCAAGGAAGATGAAAATTTTTATTATAGTCCCTTCCGAGTCTAAGACTATGAAGGACTTCGTAAATGCAAGGAATTTTGCACCGCTAACATTCAAAATTGAGGATTTTAGGCCGATACCGGGTTTATGAAAGCCGCAAGCAATAGTAGGGGAAGAGATATAATCTTTAGTATAAGATTTCGGACCCAATGTACGAGGAAATATAGGCCTTGATTATGTCGTATTAGAACGTTGGCTTAGCGCTGGATACAGCCCAACCTGATGTGTCATCATACCTTGTAGGGTGCATATAGTCTTGTTCATTGAATATGGAGGCGCAGGCTTTCGAACGTTGAAGGATAAAGACTGCCCATCAGTCAGCCCTATCCTCAACAAACCTCAGATTTAAATATATCACCTAACCTGAGTTTGTTCTCTTTAGTAGGATTAGAAAAGTTACCTCACAAGCCAATGATGCAAGCCTTGAAACACCAAATTTAACCCACACCATGATCGTTTCCCACAAAGACCTTGCCAAATCTGCAATTACGGCCTAGCAAGACTTATCTCAATGATCAAATCTCTCTCAAACTTAGCCCCTGGGCTTATGTGTCCTTCAATCATACGCTCCTGCCCACAACAGTACTCGAGGATAGCGAAAAAATTGGCCCACAAATCTAGGAGATAGATATTCAGGAAGGAAGTAACAGATATCAGGACGCATAGACAAGATGTTACAACTGGTTGATAAATTCTAGTGACGAGTGAGATCACCATATCTGCAAAAAGTTTTTTAGATTGAGCATCATGCGCTTCATGAATTTGGCTGCGAGAATGGAGGAGCAACCATACGTAACGCAATAGTTGGATGGTGCGGTATTACTTCATCTGGGCCAGTCTACCAAATAGATTCTGGAAAGCCCGGACACATCCAGCAAGGCTACACCCTATATCTCGTGGTACTGATGTGCACGGGTGACGGAGACATGCTTGGGTACCAAAATATTTTGAAACGCCCCTTTGGTTGGTACTCACGGGGGAGGTTCGACTGTTTGTGTAGGCAAACATATCTCATAGTGGTATTTGCGGTTTAAATCTAGAGTGATAGTGCCTCTCTCGTCATAAAAATCACCTAACATGTACACATAACGCTGACTCTCTGTCATAGAAAGCTGAATACACGTTAAATAATTGTAAATTGAGTGCACAGGCTTCGTTTTATTAGAATCACATGTGAATAAGAAGTTATTCACATGCTATAACTTGGCAGCCTGTGTAGGAAAAGTTTGGAGTTTCATCACTGCGAAGACAGACACGCTGCTATTATCGCGTGACTGTCTTTGGTATTCATTGTGTTCGTGACAGTTTTATCAGCAATCATCCTAGCTAGAGTGTGTCTGGGACGCGCTTTTGGGCTTTGCGCAACTGAATCATCAAATGACCAAAGTCTTGTGGCTGAACGGTGACACACTTGCGTTGACCCGTACCAATGTTTTAAAGGTCCCATGGAAAAGATGGCCGAAGTCCACTGGGAAATCCTGAGCTGAATGGCTATTTATCACGGGCAGTATACCAGTGATCTTTCAAGAAACACTATACAAGGTGTGGCCTAGTTCAGAAAGGAGCCCAATGTGCTAGATTGTCAGAGACTACAGTAGTACAATAAAACATCACATCAAATGACCGCTTGCTGGCCACAGAGACAACCTCGTCCCATAGATAGGCAACACGCTAGCTGGGGCTGATCTATCCGTGTTTCCTTCCAAAACAGTTCAAGAATTTCATGGTGAGTACTTTTGCACTGCACCAGAAAATCTGATAGTACTCTTCAGGTATCGACCGCAACCGTGTGCGTCCTCCAGGCTATAAAGGAGGAGATGATGATGTATATGCCTTAAGAACTTGTGCAGCTTTTAAATTTTAGTTTATGGAGATATCTAAAAAAACTGAATCAAAATTGGCTAATTTTACTTGGAGACTCTGGATAGAGAGGACACAATTACACCACTTGAAGAGGTAAGTGTGTGAGCAGAGTAGCTGGGGATTTCAGCTAGACTAACATTTAATGGTTAGACACATTCACATACAGTGCTTTAGTCTCACAATAAGGTCCATGTTTTTTTGTCTTTTATTCCTGAATTAAAGGGGAGTTGCTTGTCACATGCTTCGTCCAAACCCGTGCAGAATAAACTCTACTTCTTACCTTCAGCTAGTCTAGTAGTTTGCCGCGTAGAACTCCCAACTCAAAAATATCAACATTTGATGCGTCGGGAACTTTCGCTGATTCGCGAGGCAGACTTAGGGCAGCACAAGTCTAGCCGTTGGTCGAGCTACATGTAGCGATTTGACTAGTGTAACCCGCCGCTGGGCTCCATAATTGGCACTAAAGTTTCTGGGGTTTACTCAGTCAGCGTGCTCCTAGCATAAATTCAACTTGAGACTTGGGTAACCCCTCATACCTACTCACAGTAATTCACAAGGCTCCAAACCGTCATCTACGTTCGGGAAATTGTCGTGATGTTGGGACCCAGTTTACAGGGCGCTTTAACCGTGCCATCCGTGAAAGCCGGGTTATCACGGCGGAGACGGACTAAGCCTCCGTGGCAATGATTTTTTCTTGGCAAGAGGTCCCGAGCAGCCATCGTCGCATTCAATTAGTTGCCAGATCCCAGGAATGGTGAATGGCCTGTGTCTGCCACGCAGTGGCACACTGTCTTTACCTGCACGAAGCCTCACGGAAAAAAAATACTCCATGAACAAATGGATAGCTGGTCATGAGAAATAGTTGGCAGAGGACCTAGGCGGCAGCCATGAGGAGTAGATTACTCCGTGGTAATTGTTTCGGGCACTAGGGTTCATTTTCAATCGAAACGAGCCGGAATATATGCTTTTTCCGAGGGCAGAGGTATCAAGTCGCTCAATCGTGAGAATCTTTCCAATTTTCTTTGCTCCACAGAGCCTACCAACAGTATTTCCTGTATTTCACACCCGTAACGACGACTGCATACGCACCCTTGTATGGTTGTGTTTGTTGCGCTACCCGAGTCTATGGATATCCAACACATTGGGCTAGTTTGTGATCCGGGCCAGACCTGGTACAGTGCCCCAATCCTCCTGTGTTACGGAAATAAGATCTCTGATATAATACCCATGAGGGATAGCCATTTCGCCGTTACCCATGTAGGCTGACTCCCCCTCCAAATTTTGAGTGTCGTCACTCCGGCATGGCTAATCGATCCAATTGCCATTGATCTGTCCACATCAACCAGCATCCTATATTTACAAGGATTGTGTATGTCCAACGACGCTAGCACCGAATCGGTGCTTGTAATTTCCGACAAGGGGCACCCCTACTAAAAACGGTGAGATGTCAAGCTAAATGCTCCAGAAAAAATAGAGCGAATGAGTATCGGGTCCCGTCGTGCGTGGAATAATCTAGAAATACTGAACTCAAAGCTAGCCACAACCCCTGATCAACGGGAGTGCCGGACTCTAGCGAAGTCACCTACTACAGTTCGTAAAGCTCTACAAACCGCAGGTGCTTTGAATGCTATCTTGACAAGCTCAGATAGCATGATGACTCACCCAGTTAATCTGTAGTTTCTCGTCTCGCGAGTCCCCACATTTAGCTACATGAATTGTCGGCTAACTGATTAAATTTAATGCACAGCGCGAGTTCAGTGCTACTCAACCATCACAACATGAGAAAGTGATAACTCCATTAGCATTCCCTAGTGGGTGAGATCTCACGACCCCTAGACCCTAGTCGCCTAAAGAAGGGTAGTGTTCACGCGTCTCAAGCGCGTCTCGGCCAACCATCGACGTCTACAACTTTCACGTCAACCATCTGGTTTCGAAGCTTGTCGACGTTAAGCTGACCCATCATGTGGCGACCGTAGCTCGACGGCCGAGCTCATGGCTTTTCACGCGGTTCGCCAGGATATCCTCAGACTACGACCCTTCTTCGCTGCTCGTTATACCGCCCAGGATCCCTGACTCTGCCTGGACAAGCCTACAATTAGCCCTCACACTATTTCGCAACGCTTCGACTGGATTCAGTCGCTCTGCCTGCGTCGTTTTTTCAGATCTTGGTGCTTATTGCGGCTGGCTTGCAGCGCATCAGTCTACCTTACCACTCTCACCCCTGCACTTGCTCTCCGCTTAAATCTCCCCTTCAATCGGACACATCTAAAGTTGTGTAACTGGACTTGGTTTAGGTGATTAGCCAGGGCAGTGGAGTTTTCAGGTATGGCTACGGGAGGGAGTGCGTTGAAGGTTGCCGCTTGGTATCGCCATTTCATGACGTAAATTTTCACAGCCACAGTCACCGCTATTGACAAGCAAAGCCTTCTTCCCCCCATAGAGCATTTGGATCCCCGACCCACTAAGGCTAGGCTGCTCTACCACCCTTGAATTCCTCGCTTCTTGTAGCCGCAATAGGAACCTCCACGCTTCACACTAAGATTGAAACACGACCTCAGCTACTGGCGCACGAATTCAATGAAGTCAATCCTAGAGATCGCTGTCTTTATTCGAGCTATACGCAACTCTAAGGTATCCTGGCCTCAATCATTTTCGCTTCTTCGCAAGTGCACAGAGATATCACAGGTCCCCGCCGCTGTCTTTGATATAGTCACACCCTACGCAAGTATATCCTCAAAATCGAAATTCTGCATGGCTCCCATACGAGTTGCCGAGCAAGCCATGTTGCCAGGCGCGAATTCTGGCTTTCAAAAAATCTAGCTTTCGAATCCTCAGGCACAGTAGCCATGCTCAATTTGGATTTTAGCTCGAGGCCTTCCCCCATTCTCTCAGAATATAATTCAGAGGCTGAATATCATCAGTATTTATCTTGCTACTTGAATCTCACGGTACGCGCCTCACGAAAGATTCTGATTACCCTTCATAGTAAGACCAAGATCATGCATCCCGCATAATCTTACTGAATAAGAGCACAGCCTGATACAAAATAGGCTAAGCTCGCCACAAATCATCGGTTTGCTTAGCAGGAGTCCGGGATTTGGCACGAGTTTATCATCACTCAGTCCGAGCTGCGCACAAGCATCCTGCTGGGGTCTCCATCGGGAGATTTGAACTCCCTACGTTTCCATAATGATGCGCTCACTGGCAATTCTCCCAGCTTTCATTAATCAGTCAAAACTGCGCCTTATTCTCGGTAAAAAATTATCCGCTGCTAAAATCGACGGCCCACGACTCAAACTCTTCGTCGATTTTGCCTTGTTTTTGACTCCTTGTATTCATCTACTTTGAACTAAGGAGATACTATGAAAATCTGGGACGCTCAGTCAAGGTGCTCTAAACTCCCCTGTTGTCAGTTGCTACTGGTCTCTAGATTCAATAAATATATTTTTGACTGGATACTCTAATTTTGATGAGCTCTTATTTGGGGCATAATCTAATCTATACTGGTATCTCTCAATGCACTTACTATTCTCACTATGAGCCGTCTCTAGACTAAAATATCCATGTGCTACTATATTCCACGATTTAGTCAACAAATTGTTGATCAATACCAACATTGGAAGATCTGGCCAAAGATGGCATCCACCTCCCACAGTGTTGTGAGCTTCATCCAACATCAAGCCTCACGTGATGTTGGCTAAGCCTAGTTAGGTTAAATAGAATTAGCCCGTGCAAATGAGGGTATCTCACTGTTGCGGGCTGAACAGAGAGAGAATGAGAAATCACGATTTAACCACCACGTTGCAACGTAGTACTTTTGATTTATACGATACTTTGCCGTATCAACACATAGGTATCTAGCTTAAACTTTAAGACAGTTTTTTAACTTTGTTATCCTTAACCTACACCTCATATTTTGCTAGTAGCTGTTGAACTCCTGAGGCCTTCTTATGATGAAAATTTTTTCATAACAAAGCTCAAATAGTTTAATTTCAACACCAAAAATAACTAGTCGATGTTGCATCTACCAAAGAAGCATAAATTCCTGTTCTTTTGGTTTGTCAAGGAGTATGGCCTCATCATCATCTTGCAGTACTCTTGGCAACTCGTCAAGAAGCATGTTGCCAATCTCATCTTCCATTTCATTTTGATTTTCGTATAGGAGCTGAGTATCAGTCCAGTCATCAAATGGGTCGTCAAAATAATCTTCAACTTCGGCCTCTATCAAGTCCTCATAACTTTCTTCGCTCGCCTCACTCATGGCTAGTTCACTAAAATCAGAAAGATCTAGCGGCGCATCTTCATCATTCGTTTTTCTGCCGTTAGTAAATAAAAGCTTTTTGTTTGCACTCGAGTCACCAAGTTTTCTCTGCAACATAGCCCATAATTCAGCTTGCAAAATGGCTGTCACATCTTTATTTGTGCCTTCCACTTCTTCTCTAGGTAACTTTTGGGCGAAAAGTTCTGAACTCGCTCGAACAATGTGATGCAGTTTACTCTGTAGACTTGATGAATAAGATCTCTGCACAAGTGAAACTAGTGCTTGAGAGATGTTTGGCAAGTGCCTTGAGTTATTGAAAATTGACTAGAGCACACCGTCAATAGATCTCCGGAAAAATAAACTTGTTACCAACCCATGAATATTCAAAAGAGAAAAATGTCGGAACATAATTTACAACTGAAGTTTGCGGATATGGCCTTGAAAGCCTGAAATTTCTCTGTTTTCGACCGTAATGGCCAGTTAAATTTAAACTCACAGCCGCATTACACATTTCAAGAAAGTCTCTTTGAAGGCCCTGATGACAGAAAAATCCACTAATATTATCATGACATGAGGGTAACTCTACTAACGGTGACCATGAGGCATCACTGACCGAGGAAACAGTGCCCTGATTACTCATATAGTGCAATTTATTTGAGGGTAACCCCGAATCTGGAGCAACAATACCTGAGCCTAAAAGCATTTCATCATCAAAAGATATATCTGCGCGCAGTTTTCGTCGTAACCTATAAAGCAAGCCGTTAACCTGGGCTTAGCCGGTCAGCTTTTTTCGAGTAAAATGCAGGTGCTTGTAGTTTTTACACTTCTTGAGGCCAGTAATTTTAATTAGCTGGTCTTTTTCTGATTTACTAGGATATAACGAGCTCTTAGATAAATTTGACCATTGTTTCCATGAAGCTTTTAAGATGTCTCCTGGAAACTGACGATTCTTATTAACACTAATATGTCGAAAAGAATCGGATTTTGGGGTTAGGGTGTTGGGAATAATCGAAAATTCTCTGCTGTACGCTCTAGATCCATAAATAGGCTGCTTGCACCCAGAACTAGATGTACTTTCACAAGGTCTCAATTTGCAAAAGCTGTAAGAATCTAGCTCAGATGTGGTAAAGTGAGGATTTCTTGTTCGCAAAAACTCGCATAAAGTATTGGATGCTTCGTCCAAAATGATAGAATCGTTGGTACGGATCTGAGCATTTGCCAATTTCGACTCGTCGACATGGGAAGTCTTAGTTTTAAGCCAAAGCTTCATCTCAAGTCTTTCACAAGAGGCAACTAAAGTTTTTCCTGGCGGAGGTGAAATATAAAAGCCTTCATGATCATTAGTGTTCATGGGTTTAGGAAAGATGAAAATAGATATTATTGGATGATTCATAACGAATCCATCTTCTTTTGGAATAGAGAGAGTGGTTTCAAGGGATAGTTTCTTCCAAATCTAACACTGATCAGTAGATTTTATGGCTCTAGGAAATTGAGCACTACCTCTGCGTTACAGAGAGAAGCCCCTATATTACCAATAATAGGTAGCCCAGAGCTAGATCTTAGTTTATGATTGTCGATGAATATCTGTATGTCCAATCTACAAGGTGACTCTCGAGTGACCCAAATCCGACCAGATGCGAATGCTTCCCGTAAACAATCAAGATTTATGAACGAAGAACCAGGGGGGAAACTAAAGAAAGCTTTCGATGTCACCACAAGTTCCATTGAATATGCGGCATTCTTGATGTGAAGGTCCTCGAGTTCAATCACTTGGAGAGACATATGTATAAATCAGCGAGAGTGAGCTTAAGTTTCGAAGAGAGAAGATAGGACGTCTGATGTTCTGCTGCGTAACGATAAAGCCAATTTAAATGGCACAATTACCCGTCAAATTTTAGAGTATTCTCACTGAATAATTTGAGATGAAGAAACTAAGCCGCATGCTTCGTGCATTATATGTATACTTCAAAAGTGAACAAAAGAAGGGTCCCACGCTTGAGAAATTCGCTCCGTGACGCACATGACGTCCTGGTTTATTTTGCTCCTGGGGTGTGTACGTGTCTAAGTGCCTTGGTTGTTTAAAATTGTACGATTATAGAGCTCGAATGTTGGTAAACACTGATGAAGTAATCGAGTTTTTTGAATTGAGTCCCACTGTCTGACATTTGGAACCATCATCTTAACCACTCCACCCGTTACCGATGAGAATTGTAAGCCCGGTTTTTCATTAATATTTTAATTTTATGTCTTGATCGAAGATTATATACAATATATCGGTCCTCTGTATACAGGTTAAGAATTGTTATGCCCCAACTGATACATCCTCTCTCTTACACCTCTCATCACAGTGTACCATCTCCGACTAATCCTCAATCAATCATACACATAAAGAAATCTATTTCCTATTATGTTACCCGTACAACCAACGAAAAGACTGCTTTTTGCCAGAATATTAGGCTGAGACAAAACTAATTACTCGCATTCCATTGACTACAATATGCAAGACTTCAGCCAATACAAGGTTGGTCATACTTTGGTGATAGAGCTTGCAAAATCAATACGACGTGGGAAGGTGAATTTAGGTACGTTGTAATTTTTATGTCTGTGTGTGTATATAGTGCTACTTGAGTCTATGACGATCTAGCATATTGGGCTCCTCTCTGGCCAAGATCACACCTTGTACCGTGCTACTGTTCTCTTTCGTTACTTGAAATATCTGATATACTTCCCATGATAGATATGTTGTGATACTGAGTGTAACCAAAGATATGTATGGAAAACATTATCATGTAGAGTAGTTGCACTTTCACCGAGAAGTCAAAGGTGATTGTCTGGATCACTCTGATTGGTCCGAGGTGTAGGCCTTCACCCACGGGTGTTGGTCGCACTAGGGCCTTGGCACCTATATAGTATAACTCTCTGTAGATAGCTTGCATAGAGAATCAAAAATAAATTGACTAAACAATATCTATCTGCTGGCATGGTAAAAACCCCCTCAACTTTTCAATTTATAAGATCTTGTCCACGTTAGATCCACATCATCCAATTCTTCCATCCCATACACGCGTACCAGTACATTTATCCCCTACCCAAACCCGAGAGATCAAGCAGCATCATGGCTACGTACAACCAGCTGTCGTCCTCGGCTTCAACCGACCCAGGCGACCATTTACACCCGAGCCTTCTTGGGATTGCTGCCGCCATGGAGCAATCGGAACGCCAAGGAAAGTAGCGAATGAGCCTAGCTCAGGATTTTCTGCAAAACATCGACGCCTGGGTGAAATCCAAGGCAGGAACAGAAGGCACGTCTTTAGTCGCGCCCTTCATTGAAAATATTTCACCCATCGTGACAGCGTTCGCGATAGGTAACACCAATGCCGCGACTCCCTAAGGCAAGAACCCATCCATAGAAGGTACACAGATAAAAACCTCTGTCCCTAAGGTGACTAAACCTCTTCATGAGCTGCCAAGAAAGCCCAAGGAGACTGCTTCTTCGTGGGCCACAGTAGCCCAGAAAGCAGCAAAGCTCCCAGACCCGCCAGCCAATCTGGTAAAACGAAGACCAGCCGTTCAGACAAGACCAGCCGGACAAGAGCTCCCGAAAGAAGATTAACGACTCTTCCCTCGCATAGGGCGAGAACATCAGTGGCGGACGTTATCACATATCACAATAAAGAAACTCATCACTGAAAAAGCTGGAGTCGCACCATCAGCAATCATAGCGATGGCACAAGTTAGGTCCGACCTAGTAATGGAGTGTGCATCAGACGCACTCAGGGAGTCGATTCTGAGTGTGGGTCCTTCACTTAAAAAGGAGGAAATCACAATTGAGCCTGTTTCAGATTGGACGTCCGTCATGGTCCCTTATGTCCCAATTTGCATCCGTACATTAGACGGAAGGATTGAAGTTACTAGTGAAATGGTGAAGACAGAATGCCAGACAGTTTGTGGAGTCACACCGATACAGGTGCGCCCAAACGATATAAAATTAGGAAGCTATTCTGCTAGCTGGATAATACACTTCAAACAGGTGCCGTCCAACCTAAGATTCAGACTATTCGACGAGAGTGGGCCCGCCATTCCGTTTTCCCGTCGACGCCCCATCGAGTAGTGTCAACGCTATTGGGGATACCACTCAACAAGAATCTGCGTCAAAAGACAGCGATGTGTTAAATTTTCTGGTGCACGCGAAGTAGCAGAATGCACGGTCAACATCCCCAAGTGTTCAAACTGTGCTGGGCCGCACGAATCAACCCATTTGAGCTGCATGGCTCGACCAAGGCGACATCACGGTCAAGTAACGCCTAGATCACCAGCAGAGCTACGAGTTATTCGTGAAAGAGGGCATATAGATTTCAAGGCAGCACTGTCAAGATCCCAAGAAAAAATGTAAGGCCCGCGAGGTCATTAACATACCAGAAGAAGTAATGCATGATAATGAGTAATACACCGAACTCATATAATCACAAACAGAGACATAGCACCCTTCTCTTTCACCAAGTGAACGTGGGAAAGGGCGGACCGAACATGGACATAGCGCCGTAACAAGCCTGGGATGCAGAAGTACACATAGTCATGGTACAAGAACCGTGGACCTTGCGAGAAGACGGAGATTTCACTACGAAAAGCCACCCTGGCTTCAATAGTTTCATACCCTTCGGAAATACGGTACCGAGATCACGACCACGCGCCGTCACTTTTGTCAGGAAATCTCAGGGATGAGGGTTTGATAGTGTTTCACGGGGTGCGTTGTATAGCCTAGTAAAGATCTAGGTGGTAAGTGAAGGTTGTAAATGGGTCAAAGGAATGACAGGTCTTCTCTAGGAAGAGATGAATGGGCAACTAGTTGCAGTAGGTGTTGCACGTGGGTCTTGCTGATGAAGAACTGGGCAATGGATAAATGGTCTTCCCGAAGAAGAGATGGATAAACAAATGTATTGTAAATGGTAGATAAAGAAGACGTTGCGTGAGGAGTAAATCTCTCTCACGCTGAACTATTATATACAAGAGTAGAAGCATTTGCCAGCCGGAATTAATCGTAATCAATTCTTGCCAATATCTTCGCATTGATGGCTGTGTTCTTGTCCTTCTCTTCATGACTCCCTTGTATATCCTTACATGACTTTTTACACGACTAATTGTATAGAGGAAGCTATTATTAAACTGATGTCTTTAATTAACTACCCCTTCATCTTATCACGAATTAATATTAGTATTAAAATTCTATTTACGGATCCGTGAAAGGAAAGGACTGCAAGCGACACAGATTACACCTTCGTCATAAAGTCAGACGTCAGACTTTTGCTTCGTGCAAGTGTCCGGACTGACCTTTGTAAACGTTTATCGTGATCCAGGCCCCAGCGGGACTTTGGATCCTTTACTAAACTGGCGTCCCAATGGCCTTTCGGTAGTGGGAGGCGATTTTAATTCAGTCTCATAGCATTGGCAGCCGTTAATAGAACGCCAATACGGTAAGGCGATCTCATCATGGGATGGGCCCGCAAAAATAATATGCAGCTACTAAGCACTATTGGAGAAAGCACCCACCGAGACGAAAATGTGCTAGATCTAACCTGGAGTAACACGACGGCTTTTGCAGCAGTCTCAAACCGCTTTCACTGTACATCAGACCACTCTACAATTGAGGGCTCAGTCGACACACCCGGGTACTCGGAGCTATCTGGAACCCCAAGACTAACCCATGTTAGAGACTACGATCTAGATAAGTTTGCACGATGCGTGAAGCAATGGGTAAGGTCTGGCCCCCTAAGTAGTCAAATCGAGATTGAGGACTTTGCGAGGAGTTTAACCCGATAACTTTAAGATGCGGCCAAAGTTATCGGACGAGCACCAGCTGTAGGAAGTGGGAAAACAGCGCCTTGGTGGACTGAGGGCTACAAAGAACGACAGAGTGACTACAGGGCAGCTAAAAGGACATCTGGAGATACAGAAACGACACGTAAAGCTTTCCGAGCCGCAGTGAATTCAGCCAAACGCGAGTATTTGACAAAGCAAGTCGAAGCAGCAGAGATAGAGGCACAAGTGTTCAAACTCATGCGATGGGCCAGACCAAAGCCGACGAAACAGCCTCCTCCTCTCCAGGTATCACCAAATCAGTGGCTTTCAGATCCACTCGAGCGGACAATCGCACTGCGTGATTCCCTTCTGGGAAGATTCGACGCTAGAAGCGATGTAGAAACATGGGAGAATGGTCAACCAGAGTCTATCCCATGGAACAGAGGGGTCTCGTTGGAAGAAGTTACAGCGTCAACCATAAGAAGTAAAGAAACGGCTCCAGGATATGACAAAATCACCGTCCGACTACTCAAGGCTTGCTGGAGCTCGATTGGAACATATGTAAGGGACCTCTTTCAGGCATGTCTGAACTTGGAATATTTTCCAACACCCTTCAAGGTGGCAGAAGTTGTACTACTTCCTAAAATTGGACGCGATCTCCCAGCCCAAAAGGATGGCGACCTATATCGTTACTCTCCAGCTTAGGCAAGGGACTGGAAAGACTCATAGCTAAACGGATGTCCTGGCTTGCGCTAAAGTACAAGGCAGTTCCTTCTCAACTATTCGGCGCGCTACCAGGTCGCTCAGCAGTCGACCTGGTATCGTGTGCCACACACGATGCAGAAGCTGCAATGAGATCCAACAAAGTCACAGCTATGGTCACGCTGGACATTCAAGGTGCCTTCGATGCAGTGCTACACAATAGGCTGCTCGCACGAATGCGAAGTCAGGGCTGGCTGCTATCACTCTGTCGCTCGTTAGAATCG